CGATAATAAAACCATGATAAGATAATGGGAATTTATTTTTCAAATAAATGACCCAATCTATGAAAATTATAACACCTCCGTAAATAAAATTCAAAAATTTGATATAAAGTAAGATTTTTTTTCAAAAAATCAAGAACATTCATGCTTCTCCGATGAGCTTTAAATGTCCTAAATATAAGGAAAAAATGAGAATAGAATATAATAGAAAAAAGGCAAAGGTAGTAGTTTGAGAAAAAAATTTTGCATGATCCCGCAAATTAACATCATATGAAAGCATGGTAAATAAATGCAATAAATAAATTACTTGGCCTTGAAAATGAAAGATGCTTCTTCATTAGATCAATCATTAAATTCCTTTTCTCAATTGGTCTCATAGACAAGTTGATTGATACCAAAGACATCCTTAAATGTGTTGGCGAAAAGCATCATCATTTCTAAACTATTAAGCACTAACCCAAGTTGTATGACATCGTTCTTATCATTGACTTTTTTGCTCCTAAATGTTTCACTACCATAGCATGAGATGATTGGCTCAAACTCAAATCTTTGCTCTTGATAAAATTTATAAAAAACATCGATATCGTGTCCACTCTATTTGTGAAACTTATAGAAGAACTTGACATGAATAGGAGCTTGAGACATGGCTGATTTTTTTGTTAATGTTGATAGTAGATAACATATCAAACAAACAAGACATGAAAATTTCAAAACTCGCCTTTTTGTTGTCACACCCAATATTATCCAATGACTACATGTTCACTCCATCGATGGTAGCATGATTAGAGAACCCCAAACAATCTTTGATATTATGATGAATTATGCCATCCTAATACTTATAAGATTCATTGAGATTAGACAAGTTAAGAAATAGAGGTTGTCATAGAGTGGTTGTCATAGGATTTACTTGATTGGTAGAAGAGATAATAATATTTTTTTTATGTTTTTTTATGAGCTATATTTCTTTATTTGCCTTGGTTGAATTATCTTTACTAATGGTTGGATTGTGGAGGATGTTTTGCTTGAAAATTTTGAGGAAAAGTCTATGAAAGATGATAATGATTCAAATTACTATTTAGATTGAAAATAGATTTCCTAATCCGGTGAACATTGGTGCCATCTCCCTTACCAATGTTGTTCTTCTTTGACTAAGATTTAGAAGGATCACCTATTCACTGGGAATCAAAAACTTTTCAACTAAGCAACTTTTTCCATCTTGTTTAAGTATATCCTAAGATGAGTTCTTGAATATTGACTCCTAGTGTATTTCGAGAATTTTGGTACTTTGAACTTTTCGAGAATCATGACATCTAGAATCAAGCATCTATTTACTATCAAAAGAGGGTTGTATATGTCTACGCTCTCAATGGCTCTAAGCTTCTCAATGTCGGTCTTTGAGCTCTTTTTTTCAACTTTTCATCAACGAGTCAAATTAATCATAGGAGTTTTCCGGGTTTACAAAGTATGTGGCTACTATGAAATCGGGCAAGAGACTTCGGGATGTGCTAGCTCAAACATACCCATAAGTGTGGTGTGATCTGGTTAGATTCATAACATTGATAACCTCTTAATGGAGAGTGAAGAAAGGTAACATAGAAATTACCACTTGAGTAGTTAGTAGTGAGCACTTTGAAGATAGCAAATGACTGACCTATTTCTTGACTAAGAGGCACTTTAACAACTCGTGTAGACCGGCATACTTTTCTTAAGTAAAACAGGTAGCCTAGACACTTTTGCTTTAAAAATACTTAACTTCTTCTAATGATTTTGCTCAAGTTGAGCCCTTTCCTCATTCTCAATTTTGACTTTGGCTTGAGTTCTCTTAGGGAAAAAATACAATTTTGACATGATGACTTATGCTTCTCCACTTGGATAGGAAAATAACAAAACATAACATAAATAACATATTAGTACAAAATAAAGACACTTACAACAAGATATATAGTAGCTTCATATAAAGGTGATAAGAGCATTCAATTGTTGATTCTTTAATCCTTTTGCACCGAATCGAGTTGCTTTAAAGATGAACTTAAATTTCATCGGTAACCTTTGAAAACTCTAGCATGATGGATCGCCTTATTGTTAATTGGTTTAAAGATAGAGTTGCGCTCCATTAGTAACTTTTGGAATTTTTTGATCGAGCCATGGAATTTCTTTGATATTCAAGCATTGCACAAATTTAGATTTAAATCCTTTTATCAGCAATTTAGAAGCATGATCGATTATTTAGTCAATGTTTCAATGCATCCGACTTACCTAATGAATTTATATTGGAAAACCGATCATAAGGTCCGGTTCTAGTCATTACATGATTGGGTAGGATCTATCTAAACCTTAACGAGCGTCCCTTTTGCCTCGGAAGAACTAAGGTTGACCAAGTATGGAAGTGTTGATCGTAGGGACCATTGATTACCAATCATAATAGTGGTAAATTTTCAAAACTCGTTGAGGTTTCTTAATTGTTACCCAAGGTGAAGCCCATTGAAGCACCAATAATTGCTCCCTAAATCCTAAGGCAAATGAGAATGACGAGTTAGAATTATATATAGTGTATGGGACACGACTCCATATCTAGTCAAAAATATGAAATAAAAAGCTACAAGAAAAAAACAACACAAACAAGACACATATATACAAACATATTTTCACAACGCAAAAAAAAGTAATTAAATATAATCACTCGCTCAAAAACAATAGGCATAGCATAAAAATTGACCAAAGATTCAAAACAAAAACATTCAAAGCTTGATCCTAGCATGACATATCCCTCGTGGAGTTGCTAATTATATCGATGTCGACCTCCGTGATGAGGGTCGAACAAAGAGTCACCACCTAGCTAATCGGAGAGAACTAGAAAATCCTAAACAAACTAGTCTACATAAATATCTAGGTAAAAGATCGATTACGTATGGGAAATATATAATATCATCGTCATTCGTCCTACCTACGGTAGGTTGCATTGTTTGCCTATGAACATAAAAATTTAGTTTTTACCGTGTTATGCTTCTATGCCTATTTAAATGAGTTTATTTTATAAAGAATATAGAATAAGGTCGTTTAGGTGTAAAACATGGTAGTTTGGGAGTTTAGGTTGGTCTAAAACCAACACTCCTTGCCTAAAAGGGGAAAGGTAGGGGAAGTTGAAATTTTAGCTAGTCATTAGTGATCACGACCTATTATCAAAAATGGGTGAGCTTCTAAAGATGGATAGCCTTTTATTAGCATGAGCAAGCAAGTCACTTACGACTTCACTCACATAAGTGGGAAGCCACCAACAACTTTGAGTCCCGAATGTGGGAAGCTAAAGATAACTTCATCACATAAGTGGCAAAACACCATCTATTTTATTTAGCTCAAGCAAGGAGCGAGATAATTGTTTTGAAAGCCACTCGGTAGCTTCGTCACATAAGTGGAAAGCCACTAGCAACTTCGTTTCAATAAGTAGACATTAAATAAAAATTAATTCAAAACCAATAATGGCTTCATCATATAGGTGGGAAGCCACCGATGGCTTCATTTTGATAAAACAAGAAACAGGAAATAGAAAATAAGAAATAGAAAATAGGAAATAAGAATAAAAAAAAGACAAAATGATTCCGAAAGCACCAATAGCTTCGTCACATAAGTGAAAAGCCACCGACGGTTTTATTTCAACAATTCAAAATCAAGCAAAAGGAAACAAAAATAAGAAATAGGAAATAAAAAAAGGAAACCAAAACAGAAAATAGACAACATGATTTCAAAACCACCGATAGCTTCATCACATAAGTGAGAAGCCATTAGCATTTTTAGTTTTATGATTGCAACTAGCCACAAAAATTCCATAGTACTATAAAAACTAGCACAAACTTCGCATTTAAGTGGATGGAGATAAAATAGGAAAACATGGTAGTTTGTCTTAAAATGGCCATTATAGGAATGTTCACTTCAATCACATTTAAACCGTGAATAAATTCCATGTAATTATTTCATCCATATTTTCAAAGAATACGAGTCATTTTTTAACATTTTAATGAGTGAAATAATTTTAGAATTTTTTAACCAAAACATTATGTAGTTTTGATGTCGATTCGGGGTCGGTTCTACTCCTTTTATCTTTGATGATAATTAATTATTCAGTTAGTTGGAGAAGTAGAGTAGATTTCGTTGTTAAAATATTGTATGGGTCTCGTCAAAGTGACCAAAATTTCTCCAAATCCCAAAGTCAATGTAAATTAGCATAGTTGTTGTAACTTTGCAATATTTCCTAAAACTTAGGGGATTTTTTATCTTGTATTTTTTTGATAAAAAATTAACACAAATGCGATCTATAATATCATTTTGTTCCTACCAAACATAATTTAACATTAACAAAAAAATTTAGTGTTCTTTTTTTGGTCGATCGAAGAGGAGAAAAGGCCATAAACTTTGGCTAAATATTGGTTAGCCCTTTTGTGTGGTATGAAGGCTATGTGGCATGTGTTTTATGGGTAGTTTAGGAAGGTTTTAGAGAGGCTTTTATTTAGAGGGTCGAAGGGGTTGCTATTTAAGGGCTATTTTGGGGAGTCTGTAGATGGTTTCTCTTATCTAGCTCGTAGAAAAAGAAGAACAATCCCAAGAGTAAATCCCTTCTTTTCAAAGATCTATATCTTTTTATAGAAAATGGAAATAATTTCTAATGTACCGGACATTGCAAACCACGAAATGGAAGAGTTACAAAAAAAAATTAATTTGTATACACCGCCCTATATCGCATTATCAAAGACTTTCTTATATTATTATCATTGGCTACTCACCAACTAATGCCTACTCTATCAACTTAATGTCCAAAAACACTTTTATCATATCAAACCCTAATAGTGTTTTTTAGTGAAAGTTTTTTTTTTTTTTGTTGAAGTACCGATAGGAGGAAAATGAAAAGGAGTGGGACATTAAGCTATAGATTGAGGGAGTTTCGGGCTATAGTGGATGATATTATTTTTTGTTGGAGAAGATAATGGGCTTTGGTTATTTCGGTGAGAGAAATGGCTAAAGATGGTGTTCGAGTGGTAGATGATGCTATTGTTTGGGTAGAGTTGAGGATTTCGGACAATTGGTGTTTGAATGGGGACGGTGTGGCTACATGAAAGTGGTCGGCTTATGGCCTAGGCATACGAGGCCTAGCTAACTTGTGGGTGTGGCCTAGCTACTAGGAAGAGCTACCGTGTATGGGTTGGAGGTAGCAACTACGTGCAAGAGGGAGCTTGTGGGGGTGTGAGGTATGGTGTGCAGTCGAAGGCTCGACATGTATGCAAGGAAGAGCTAACTATTGCGAGGTGAGGTGCGAGCAAGGGAGGTCCATTGTTTGTAGTTAGAGGCTTGTGTTGCATGTAGTTCGGAAATTGGTTGGCATAAAAAAAGGGAAGGGGTTGTTTTAAGGCTATTATGATCGAGAAAAGGGTAGTAGGTGTGGAGCTAGAGCTATAGGTTATGTTGGTGAGGGGTTATATTGTTCGAGTTTTAGGTGAGGGAAAGGAAGGTGGGAGATGGAGGCTTTTGGTTAATGATGGCTATTAGGGAGGAAGATGAAGGCTTGTGGGGTGACTATGGTGCATTTTTCAAGAAAAGAGAGGAAGGAAAAGAGCTACAATGAAGGAAAGTTTCGGGTGTGGGAGAAAGAGGAATAGTGTCGGTTGGTGAAGGTGGCAAGTGATAGACAAATATATTAAAAAATACAAAGGGTTTTATAGGTAGTTTTTATGTTTTATTGGCAAAATTCATTTTGCTCATTGGTTTCTTACCATCCATCAATTTGAGTTCAATTTCGATTTATTTTTTTTTTCGATGGGCCCTCCAAATCTCAATTAATTGGCACTTTTCTTTTTGATTCCTTCCAATTATGCTCCCTCTTTATTTTAATTAAAGGACATAAGTTTTGATTTTTTTCAAACATCTAAAGTTGTCAAATTAAGGGGTAAAAGGGTTTTTTCTCAAGCAAACCAAAAGCTAACAAACTAGCACAATTCGGATTAAGTACTCCAATAAAGGAAGAGTAGATCCCGTTATAATTCCAATTGAGCAATCCAACAAAGGGAGAGTTAAGCTTTCAAAAGTGCAATATATGTTTCACACGGGTTATCAACCGATTTTGGTGCCAAATTTTGCTTCGGGTACATCACAAGGTCAAGAAAGAAAAAGACGTAATCTGCAACAAGTTTTGAATTGAGAAATGCCAAAATAGGAAAGAAATGAATTCCATAAACTCATCTCAATATTTTTTTGATCGGATTACCTATTAAAAGGTTCATTTCTTTGATCTTATTTGCTAAAAAAAAAGGGGATCTCCCAAAGTGATTCATTATCTTCTTATCAATCGGATAACCTATCAAAGGTTTGTTTCTCCAATCTCATTTGAACACTATACGTTTAATTTTTTTGGGTAACCAATCTTTAACAACAAGGGCATCATATTACATATTTATTTTTTGGGTAGGCTGCCGTTGAAAAACAAACCATGCAAGTGCATGTGTAATTTTCATGGTAGCATTGCCCTTGACAATGAAGCCACATATTGCACATTTAATTTATAGGGTAGGCTTACCCTTGACAACAAAGCCACATACTTGGATATTTAATTTTTAAGGTAGGCTACCTTAGTGCCATTGACAACAAGACCATGTATTAAATATTTAATTTTTTAAGGTAGGCTACCTTTGACAACAAAGCCATGTACTACATATTTAATTTTCAAGGTAGGCAATCCTTGACAATAAGGCCATGTCCGCATTATAATTTTCAATGTAAGTCTGCCTTTAACAATAAGACCATGTACTTGCATATTTAATTTTCAAGATAGGCCACCTTCATAATAAGGCCATGAACTCGTATATTTAATTTTCAAATCAAGCCGCCTTTACAACATAGTCATGTACTTGGATGTTTAACTTTTTATGATAGGTTGTCTTTGGCAACAAGGTAATTGCATTTTATTTTCACGAAGCATTGCATTCTTACGAACATACCGCCCTTAACAAAGTTATTTTTTCCATTTGATCTTTTTTTTTTTTTTTTCAGTTTCTTCTTTAGAAGCTCACTAAGCAAAATCAATATAAAATTCACATTTTAGCTAGTGTTTGCATGCTGTGAGCAATGAAAAAGGGAAATAAAAGGATTTTTTAGGGACAATTGCTTCGTTTTTTAGGTTTTATAGGTAGCTATTCTTCGTGTTCTTCATTTCTAGGCATGTGTTTTCCATCTAGGGGTTCTTAAATAGGTTTTTATTTCTCTTGTATTTTTCGGGTTTAGATTTGAATTTTGTGGGTTGTTCAACTCATTTTTCACACTTTCTTGTTCTAATTTGATGTTTCTCATTTTTCTTTAAATTTTTTGGGCGTGCAGTTCTTCTATTTTTTAGATGTTCTTCCTGTTCATATTTTTGGGTTTTGTTTCTTGGATTCTATTACTATCCAAGTAATCAACACCAATCGTGAACTCCCTCATCATAAATAAATCATCTTGACACCTCATTTCCATCCACCCATCTCATAAAGCAACAATCAATCATTATTTTTTTTTAAGAAATCTCAAGTTAGTTTTCCTTTTTCCAGTTTCCATTTCCTTCATTACTATGAGTTAAATTTTTTTTTATTTAAGCCTTGGATTTCAATTTCTTTTTATGATAAGGAAAATGAAAGTAACTTAGTCAATTAGCTTTTAGTCTAAAACAAACTTTTGATTCTTGGGAGAACGTAAGGAAGAGCGAGAAAATGAAGAAAAAAAGAAAATTTAAAGAATAAGAGAGAGAGGGTCAAGATGAGTGTTCGATTGAAAAATTAAAATGAAAGAATTTGGATCATGTTTATGGACTTTATGTCCAACTCGGAAAGAAAAAATGTAGGATGGGCTCAACCCATCCCATATAAAATGGAAGGTTGGTTTGGTTCCAACCCAGCTCTAGTGTAGCTAAGGAAAAAAAAAAAAAAGAAACCAAGCAGAAAGCTCGGATCACTTTAGCTTCTAGCCTAACAAAATTATAATAAAAAAAAAAGTTAATAATAAATACATGAGAACTAGAATTAGTTCGATAAGAAATGCAAAAAAGAAAAGGTAAAAGCGATAAGGCATAGACCATTACGCTTGGGGCCCAATAAGTTCTTTTTTATATGTTTTGGTTTTGGGTTTTTTTTAGATAAATTAAATCTAAAAATTTTTGTTCTCCATGTATTTTTATTTTTTGCATTAATTTAGATTTAATTTTTTAGATGTTTCTTTTGAATTTATTTAATTAACTTTAAATTTATAATTTTATTTTAGTAATTAGGTTAGATAATTCCTTGATAAAAGAATTGTCGAGTTTCCTAATTTTTAGAGATTAATGATAATTTTTTTCAATAAATAATAAATAAATAAATAGTAAAAATTTTCATCGAAGTCTCCTATCTAATAGGGACTATCGTTGAATAAAAAAATAATAAAAATCCTTAACGAAGTCTCCTATCCGATAGAAACTATTGTTAAGTAAAACAAAACTCGTAAAATTCCTTAACAAAGTCTCCTATCCGATAGGGACTATCGTTAATCAAGAAAAATTCTTGACGAAGTCTCCTATCTAATAGGTAGTATTGCTAAAAAATGTAAAAATCCTTAACGAAGTCTCCTATATGGTAGGGACTATCATTGACCAAAAAAATATAAAAATCCTTAACAAAGTCTTCTATCCGATTGGGATTATCATGATGAAAAAGAAACTATAAAAATCCTTAACAAAGTCTTTTATTTGATAGAAACTATCGTTGACTAAAAAAACTATAAAAATCCTTTACGAAGTCTCCTATCCGATAGAGACTATCATTGCCAAAAAAATAATAAAAATTCTTAACAAAATCTTCTATCCGATAGGAACCGTCGTTGCCAATTAAAATTCTTAATGAAGTCTCTTATCTAATGGAACTAATATTAACAAGAATAAGAAAATAAAAAACGTAATAATAAATTTCTTAACAAAGTCTCCTACCATATAAGGACTATTGTTAGTTAAAAAATAATATCATTAATATTTAATAATCAAGATGTTCTTTAACACGTCGGTTATGTCAAGGCTTAAAGTGGATTTGATGTTGGAATTGACATGTCTCTTAATGAAGGGTTTCAATAATTGTTTCAATACGATGCCACACCTAAAAAAAATTAATTTATCTTGCAAAAATAGAGTTTAAATAAGAAATAACTTGGTACAAATAAAATACTTTAGGAGATAAATTTAGGAATAAACTAGACATGGTACCTTTCTTAGAAAAGGGCATTTGTTAGGTGATTGATAACTTCCCAAAAAATAACTAACTCCTTATCCTAGAATCTTTACACTAGTGTTATTTTTAGGTTTCTAGTTTCTTTAATACTAGGTGGCAAGTTCAAACTCAATAATAACTCGTATCCTCAAAATAACTCATAAATGCGATTCAAATCTCTAAATCCTAGATTTTTTGGGAGTGTTGTTCGATGTTAGGTAGCGACATTTGTAGTAAATATCAAGTCGATCTGGATGAGAAACACTACATTGCTCGTAAAAAGCATTTTGAAGTACTTAAAAGGAAGTAAAAATGTTTTCTTGGTCTATATAGAAGATGAACTAGTTATGAAAAGGTTCATACATGCTAGTTTTCAAATTGACCATGATAACTTTTAAGTCACAATCGGGATTCATTGTCTCGCTAAATGGTGATGCTCGTAAGCTAGAAAGGTTCTAAGTAAGAAATAAGAGTTGACTCAACAATTAAGGATGAATATATTGTAGCTGTAGAAGCAACTAAGAAAGCTCGTATGGATTCATAAATTTTTGTCTAGACTATAAGTTGCTCTAAGCATTGTTGATCCTATAGTGCTGTATTATAAAAATAACAGAGCCATAGTGTAAGATAAGGAACTAAGGTCTCATTAATGGTCTAGACATGTAATGTGACGTAACCACTCGATTAGAAAGATTATCAATCATAGTGATATAAGGATAGAAAAGGTTCACACTAACAATAATATAGCAAATCTCTTGACTAAGCCTTTGTCATAGAAGAAACATGAAACCTTATTCAATCTTTAAGCAATAGGGACATGGTTGGTTGGCTCTAGCATAAGTGGGAGATTATTAGTGTAGATGTCCAAGATCTAACCTAATTGGATAGTTTGAATATTATATGATTTCATTTATTATATTAATATAAAACTTTTTCTATTAATTCATGTTATTCATAACTTGATAAAATTAGATAGAAGTCTATATGATATTCATTTCCTTGATGATTGATCAAGATATGAGACGAACACCAATAAACCTAAATGATATTATTAAATATCTCAAGTTATAACATTGTTAAGATTGGACGTCGATAATAAACTCGTAAGACTTATGTAAGCTATGATCTTGCTATAAGATATCGGTATGAGATCTTACACCTATTAGCATGGTAATACCGAAGAAAGCACACAAGTGAATAATGTTAGAAAATATATCACTAAATGGGACTTGCCATAAGAACCCATTTGGTTTAGTCTATGGAAATCTTATCCGAGATAGGTATAAGTACTCCTTTGACTTGAAGTTTTTGTGACTATCTCATTAGAGGATTGGTATACTTTGACATTCATTTTGACGAGTTTAGTAAAGAGCTATGCATGGACAATTTGTTGGGTACGT